GAACGTGTTACTGTTTTAAAAGCATAACAGGCTTGATGATTAATATAGAGTTGACAGAGTCTTTAAGATGGAAAGGCAGAGGTAAGACTTGTTTTCATTATACTGCAGGTAAAACTGAATCAGGTGGAGTCAACACAAAAAAGTTTTAATAAGGCAAATTTCAAGCAAGCATATTGACTTCTTAAAAAAAAAAATCTAAAAGTTTAATTACAAAACACACTTGTACAGAAGACTTGGCATTTCAACAGTTCCAAACACATATACACAATTTTTTTTCTAAAATTTAATTTTATCTGAAATTAAACACTTTGTCTCATTTTTCTCAGCTGTTCCTTGTGTTTCAATAAAAAGAGAGAAATCTGTAACACTGAATAGGCAACAACTTATTTCTTGAGAACATGTAAGTGCAGTAATATGTACATGTTTATTGAAAAACATGAATTAGGTATCGTGTTATCCTGTAACTTCATTTACCACCTCCTGGTTGGGCACAGAGGAGAAAGGAGGCAACACAGACCTGCTTTATGGAACCTGACAGCGTTGTGGCAGCTGAATGCCAGCCACCAGTGTCAGGTGTGTAATGCTGGGAGAGCTATTATTTCAAAAGTGGGCTGCTTATTTTGTGAAAATGATTTCAGACTGTAGTCTCTCTCAAGGTCTCATGCATTCCTGAATATGCAAATGTTTCAAGTCAATGTCAGGTTCCTACCTGGTGTCAAAAGAATGATGATCTTTGGACAAAGTTACAGCCTTTCTTGGTCAATGGCACTCTAACAAAGCTGCACAAAACTAACACAAAGGAGAAAGAGAGAAATATTAGGAGGAAGGAAGAAAGGAGAAGAAGTATCTGGCAGAGGGCAGACACAAACTTTCAGAACAGGCCTGGATGTCCTTCTGCTATAGACACTGTGTTCTAACTTGGATTTAACAGGCAAGGAGTCTGAGAGAAGTGACAGGACCAGTAGGTGAGAGCAAGAAAACAAAAAAATACAGAAAAAAGCAAGTGAGTTGGCTAGGTTTATAGCAATAGATAAGGATGGGCTCTTATTCTAAAAAAAACTGCCATGTGGTGACATGTAGACTTCGGTGCACGTAAGTTCGATGTGTGTTCATATAAGACATTTTTAAAAAGGCTATTTTTTGTTGTTTTATTTCTTTTGTGCTGCTGGAGAAATCTGGTAGTGAGATGCAGAGAAGACAGGATGGTGCAGCAACGTGACAGGGGGTTTCTGGCTTGTACCTGAGAGCATGTTGTGAAGAGGCTACACTTCCACCTGCTTCAGTGGCGTGGTACCTGGAAAATGGGCTCAGCATGCCCAGTTTTGAATCCAAAGATCTCAGCTGCAACCATCAGTCTCATGCTATAGAGCATCGAAACAAAACCAAACCCTGAGGTGAGAATCAGAAACTCTTTTCCCTTTTGGTGTTTTTTTTAAAAAAAATTCACTCACTAAGCGGGGAAGAGGAAGAGAAGCCTGTCCATTTGGCATAGATTCTACAGTTATGGCTACAGAAGGAAGATAGAGGACATGAGAATTTCTCTGTGTCCTTTTTTGTTAGTTCAAGAGACTACTGTGAGATCCATGAATCAGTACCTAAAGCAGACAGGGAATTCCTTTTCACTTATGATAAACTTTTTTTTTTAAATGCCTAATGAGAAACTACTTTTCCTTTTCTATCCTATTTACCAGTGACCTTTTCCTCAGCAAAAAATGCTCCACAAAACACTGACAACAGATGGGAACAGAAGAACCTTGCTGGGGCTGGGACGTTGGGTATGAGCAGGAGCAAAGCTCAGAAAACAGCAGGTAGTACCAAGGAGGAAGGAAAGCACATTCTCCTTTAGGGCAGCAATCACAAAGCCTCCACGAGGGCTGGTACCCACTGAGCACTGTGTGGAGTAGGAAACATAACATAGCCTCACTCCACACAACGGTCACCAAGAAGATCCTTTCTTTGGAGTCACAGCAGGACAATGATGGAAGAAGATTGGGTCTGTCCAATAAGAAAAACTCTCCTTCAAGGCTCCACTGACCAACAAAGCCCAGAGTTCAGAAAATGGAGATGTGTAACTTGGTAGAGTAGAAGAGAATAAAAAGATAACCCCCAAAGGCATTTAAAAAAGTGACAGGTAGATTGGAAGACCAGAGCGCCACTGATGAAAGGGTCCAATCTGAAGTAGAACAATGAGAAGGCTTCTTTTCTGCGGTAGAAGATGTCAGTCTCAGGGTTACTTAGTGGAATATATGCAGATCCACTTTAACAGAAAAGCAGATCATAAGAAATTGAAGACTTGGGAGAGAGGCTGCACACTAAAGCTTCACAAAGACTATTCCATAGAAAGTTAATATACATGTTCCTTTTGGTGCTCCCTCGTATGGCTTCCTGGGGTGAAGGCATTTAACTCATAACTGATAGTTCTTTCACAAGTAGAGTCATATATATATATTCCCTCTCTGCCTCCACTCAGTTCACATTTCCACAAATGGCTTCTCACTCCTCACAATTAAAACCACTTACAGAACATCATGGAGCTCTAAGACCTGCAGAATTGTGAGAGAAAAAGATAGAGAGAGAAAAGGATGGAGGAAGGGAGAGGTAGGGGAGGGAGAGAAGAGGAGAGAGAGGGGGAAAAAGAAGGGAAATGGGGAGGAGGGAGAGAGAGAAAGAGGGAGGGAGAGAAGGAGAGAGAAGATAGCAAAAAGTTAAGTGCTGACCAGAAGAAGTTAAGGTCTATGGGTTAATAAATGCTGTGCTCTATTTTCAGTAGGGTTCAGGTGAGGAGCAGAGTGTGTGTAAACAAAAGAGCTCATAAAGCTGCAAGCAGGCAACCTCACTGAGATGTTTTAGATAATACTTCAGTGAGAAACATGGCCCTGTGCTCCAGTTCAGCAACAATGGAGATATAGGAAAATAATTCAGCTGAACACAGAAAAGCAACTATCAGGGACAAATTTGATGATAGAAAATTAGTACTCTACTTTAGTCCAAAGAATAGATGGCCAATTAAAACCAATTTTCTTCAAGTATAAATCTAAGGATCTCTGCATGTGTAGGAATGTATTGTGTGCATATATTTCTTACACTGATAAAAATTCAATCACATAAGATTTTTTTCAACCCTCAAACAGCCAAATATTTATCATTTGGTTTGATTGAAATGAAGCAACATATGGATATTAATAGTTTATATAAAGTGGTCACCTTTCAACATGAAATCACCCCCAAGGTTTCCTCCTGGCTCCACTTTTTTCTAGGTACAAGTTAGTCACAAAGAAAGATGACAGCTGGGGGTAATTATTCCATTGTATATCTATAAAAATAATTTTTAAATGGGCTGACCAAAATTTTATAACATTATAATTACTGGATTGTAATTTTTTCTGTTTACCTCTTATTTATCTTAATGCTCTTTCCAAAATTTTTTACTGTTTTCCCCTTATACTCACTTCCTTATAGCAATGTTTTAGAAACTCCAATGAACTAGAGTTTTGACATATGTATTTTAGACCTAGACTCTGTACTCATCTGCACAGGTATTTTCAGGTAAGACATAAGAAACAGGACTCAGTTTCTTCATATGTAAAATGCTGGGATTTCTAAAGGTCCCTTCTAGCTCTAATATGCTCCTTTAAAACTGGAGACCATTAACTTCCCTTCACTCACTGGCTACTGACAGTGGATGAAACCTTTGCCAAGCTTATGTCAGAGTAATTAATTGTACCACGGATGCTAGGAACATTGAGCCTAGCTTTCTTTACATATTTGTGTAATGAGGCCAAGCTAGTATTAATCATGGTCTTTAAAATTTTTTTGTTTGACAGTTTTGGGGGTCTGGGGAACTATCCAGTCTTATATTTGTACAGCTAGATTGTAAGAAACTGTAATAATAAAATGATTCACATTTTTAGGTATTATTTTTTCCAAGGGCAAAATATTTATAGTTTAAAATCAAGGATAATGATAACATTTTAGGTTTTCAGACAGCTCAGAAAGCAGATATTATAGTTTATATCCTTAGGATGGGTAAAACTTTAGGACAGTCTTATTGGCAAAATGCTCAAAACAGAAAACCACTTTTGGCCCCAAACTTGCAATAACTGCCCTATACCTACACGAGGAGATACCATATTATCAATTACTTTGTTCTTTCACAAGCTTCCAACACTGTTTCTCCCAGCTCTCTCTTTTTAAGTCTATAAGCGTGCCTATTGAAAACACTACATGAAAATGAGAAGGATGATGAGTTCCTGAAAATCTCAGGAATAGATTTACAAGCTGTTCTCTTCATAAACAGCAGCAGTAATGCTAGTCCTTTATTCTGTAGTGAGTTCGGCCATCTCTTAGAAGTATAGTCCCTTCTATCTGGCTACTCACTAGAAGGACAGTAATCCCTTCTCCATAAGAACATGGCTGAGGCTAAAGTATAATGAATTGCCTTGTACAGTAATTATCGAAGGGCATGACTAAGAAGGATAAAGACTACTGCTTTTGTCTCTGCTAGCAGATGTTGCCTCATTAGATAAAGAATCATGGATTTTATTTATTCTTATACATGTTGCTCAAGGTCCAAACCATGCTAGAATATGAATATGAGTATGCCCACATACCTATAGGACAAATAAATAAAAGATTCAAATCCATGACTGGCCATTCTAAGGTGCATATCCTGCAGCCTACTCTTGTCACCACACCATATGGTCCAACCCTAGGATTTCCACACAATTCATAGGTCTGCAGGTATAGAACAATTTAATTGATAGACTAAAGGGCTGTCAATTTTATGAGCTAGAATACTAAAAGGCACTCTAGCTTTAGGAATTTGAGTGACCAAACACCAGTTCCATTTAAGAAATGATACCTGATGACTGACCATTCATACCAAAACATTTACATGAATGTACTTTTGGAAATATACTTTTTGTTTCCTCTAAAAGGACATAACACATACTACTAGTGATTTGTTAAATCTGTTTTTAAAAAGCATATTTACTCTCTTCTCTCTTTTTTGTTTATTGAGAGTTTATTTTCTAATCCATTTAATCAGGGCACTGTTTCACTGTAAGGTTAGTCTACATTAACATTTAACATCATAGTTAACCTGAATTGGGTGGTGAATGAAAAGCTTCTTATGTATGTCTCACTGACTACTGTTGTAAATTATCATTAATATTTTCCAGGGAAAAGAAAGCTTAATTGATTTTTATTTTGTTCTTATATCTAAGTGCTGTTTTGGGGGGCAATTTTCTCCAAGGTTCTCATTCACTCTTCAAAACCCTCTGGAAACTAACACCAGAGAATACAGGTAATGAGTAGAACCAACCACAAAAATCATGCTCTTTCCATTAAACCATGCTGAAGCATATATGAGAAAAAAACTGTCCCGATTCTGTTTTCCAACATTATTTACTTACTTAGCAACTATGCAACAAGAATTTTTAATCAAGTCTCCAACTCATTTATTCAATGTAATTGTAGGGTTTTAGTGGTGTTGATAAAGTCTAATGCCATCTTATTTTTGAAGATGTGCTGACATCAATGAGCACTCACCATTCTCTAACGATCAAGCCTGTTTACAACTTCTCGAACTGTAGCTATGAAGTTTTCATTGTCTTGAGGATTAGCTAAAATAATACTGTGCAGTCTGTTCATATATGAGTCAATGGTGTCCACTGTAGGTGTCTCTCCACTTCCTGAAGTGAGATAAGAAGAGAAAGTAAGAAAATCCTCTTCATTCAGTTCAACCATAATATAGTTAAGTGAATCCATAACAAAAGAAGTCTCTAAAGTGGTCTGCTCCTCAGACAGATTTTAATTTCAGAGGAGAGAATTTTAGACCTCAAAAAAAAAAAAAAAAATTAATCCATATACTCTAAGTATACTACTCAGGATTTATTACTCAGTTTCAATTGTTCTGAATAGCAAATTAAGCTTAATAGAAAGTAAGTATTAAAATATAACTGGAGAAAAATTTAAATGACCAGAGAGCCTGAAATTTCAAATGACTGTAGTCAATACTGAGCTTCTATTGCATGACCCACAGAAAACGCTGAGGGGGAAAAAAAATCTCTTATTCTATTGATTTTCCTCTTGGACAAAGACTTCAGCCACACCACATCAATAACAACAGAAAGAGCACCTCCCCCATTCCTGAAGTACTCAGTTAAGGATTGCATTACCAGGCAAGGGCATGCTGACAAAGCTGCTGGTCAACACCTGCCGCAGGGTCTCCAAGTGCTGCTGTAAGACAGTGTTACGGCTCCGCTCCTGGATAACATCTACCTCCAGCTTCTCCACTGCTGTGCGCATGCTCTCCACGTGCTTTTGCAGGGCTGCATTCCTCTCCTCAAACTCCATATTGGATTTGCGAAGCTGGCGGAGCTCTGCCTCCCGAGCTGTGAACACCCCCCCACCAGACACATGTAGCACCAGGAGTCTCTGAGGAGTCCCAATGACTCCTACAAGGAAGTTCTTAGCTGTCTCTAATTAGCGAGCTCATCTCACCTCCCTATTCTCATTATGGCCTCCCAGATAGCAATTTCAGCAATAAAATTCCTGGCTCCCCAGAGCTATTTTAATTCTTAAAGCTGGTTATATTCTATACTTAAAATTGCATGGAACAGTTGCAATTCCTGTAATTTTTAGTGTTTTGTTTTTTAAAAACTATGTAATAAGAAACCTAACAAGTTTCACAGGGGAATCCAGGGAGATTGGGCAGGTACAGTTTTGGGTCCTCATCTTCACTGCAATGGGATCGAATTTTGCTCTTATTTATTTTATATTTTGGATGCCCATGTAAGCTTTTATTTGTACAAAGGGTTCTAGACTAACAAACTGAAGCAACTGAATTAGTGACATATATTTATTTGTTTTGATCCAGAGACTAAAGCAGCTTTGACAATTTGACAACATTGGCCTAGCTTTCCTTCACTGGTCTTTGAGTAGCTACCCTTACTAGAGAGTGAAACAGCAGCAGTTTTTTCCTTCCAGATCAGCACTAGGGTCTGAAATATCACTACCATTGCTTTTAAGAGAACAAAAATCCTGTGTCACAGACCTGAGGTACACAGAATGATACTTTGGTAATCACCTTTGCTGTGGTTCAGGAATTCCTCTGTAAATATAGGGATGTCAAAAACAGACCGTTCTTTTACCTCTGTTTCTTTCTGTGAATCAAGAGTAACAAAAAAGTTAGGGTCGAGATGGCGGGAGATGTAAACGCTGTGCACGCCTCCTCCCACGACCAAAACTAGATTAAAGAACAACCACCCTTGAGAACTACCTGATGATTAGCTGAACAGAACTCCTATAACTAAGGATATAAAGAAGCCATGTCCAGACTAGTAGGAGAGGTGGAGACGCTAAACAGGCTGGCCCCACACCCACATGTGGCAGTCAAAATTTGGGAAAGATATCTCAACTGACAAGGTCCCCACTGAGGAGCAAGGGGGTCCCAACCTTACACGGAGCTCCCCAGCCTAGACTACCAGTGCCAGGAAGAGGAGTCCCCATTAGAGCTGCAAGAATCTGTGGGCATTCTGTCCGAGTGAGAAGGAGGGCTGCTCGATTACCAGGAGTTCCTCTTAAAGGGCCCGTGCACAGAATTACTTCCTGACAGACTCACTGCTTCTGACTTCCAGCTCCAAGGCAGCAGCTTGGAAAGCACCAGGGATATATGAGACGGAAATAAATTGTCTGGCTTCAGCGTGAGGCTCCAGAGCTGTCTGGATAGGCAGCTCTCTCCAAGATTAAAGACTAACTGTTCTTTAGTAGCAGGCACTACTGTTCTTTTGTTGAGTCCTTCCCCCACCAAGCCTGTAGGTGCAGGTGGGCACCAAATCTGAGACTACATCAAACTTGCCCAATGCTGATGATTTCCTAAGAACCTACTTCACTCAACTTGAGCACAGATCATAACCTCTTTCAACAGCTGTTACAGTGGCTAGCCTTAGCCAGTGCTGTGGACCTCTCTAAAATCACTGAAAGGTCCACAAACCCCAAACAAGTGGCAGCTAGCCTCAGTATGCTCTGTACCACTTACTAAGCAGCCTCTAGCCCAGTACTAGTGACAGCTGGCCTTAGTTTGCAGCATAGCCTCTCCCAGGTACCTCTAAGCCCAGAACAGGCAGACACCAATCGAGGATCACTTTGAAGCTCCAATCAGGTGGCCCTAGGAGGGGCACAGGCAGTGGCTAACCTGAGCCTGCACCAGAGTCTCTTGCAAAAGGCCCCAGAACCAACATTCCCGGTGGCTGTCTTCAGACCACAATAGAGCACCACTCAATTAGCTCCACAAATGACATACCCAAAGGGTGGACACAGCAGGCACCAGAGCCCCACTCTATAGGTTCAGCCCTCACACAACCATTTGTCCGCTGTAGTCATAGCCAATCCTCACAGCCAGTCAGCCTGAGGGTCAATCCTACTCACTGATATGCCAACAGCAATTAAGGCTCAACTACAACAAGAGAGCACACACAACCCAAACAAGTGACACTCCTGGAGCACCTGGCTCAGGTGAAGAGGGAGACTGTGCCACTGGGCCCCATAGTATACCTACTACATAAGGCTACCCTGTCAAGTCTGGGAGACGAAGCAGATTTACCTAATATGTAGACATGAACCCAAGGAGGCAGCCAAAATGAGGACACAAAGAAACATCTCTCTAATGAAAGAACAGAACAAAACTGCAGAAAAAGAACTAAATGAAATGGAGGCAAACAATCTACCAGATACAGAGTTCAAAACACTGGTTATAGAATGCTTATGAACTTAGGAAAAGAATAGATGGACTTAGTGAAAACTTACACCAAGAGATAGAAACCATAAAAAAGAACCAGTCAGAAATGAACAATACATTACATGGACTCAATAGCAGACTAGATGAAGGAGAGGATTAAATCAGCAATCTAGAAGACAAAGTTGTGAAAAACACCCAATCAGAATGGCTAAAAGAAAAAAGAATCCAAAAAATGAGGATAGTTTAAGGGATCTTTAGGAGAACATCAAGCATACCAACATTTACCTCATAGGAGTATCAGAAGGAGAGGAGAGAGAGTGAGGAATTGAAAAGTTATTTGAATAAATAATTACTGAAAACATCCCTAACCTGGCAAAGAAAATAGACATACAACTGCAGGATGCACAGAGAATCCCAAACAAGATGAACCCAAAGAGGCCCACACCAAGACACATCATTATTAAAATGCCAAAGATTAAAGACAAAGACAGAATCTTAGAAGCAGCAAGAGAAAAGCAGTTAGTTACCTAGAAGGGAGCTCCCATAAACTGTCAGCTGATTTCTCAACAGAAACTTTGCAGGCTAGAAGGGACTGGCATGAAATATTCAAAGTGATGAAAAGTAAGGACCTACAACCAAGATTACTCTACCCAACAAGGCTATCGTTTAGAATCTAGGGAGAGATAAAGAGATTCCCAGATGAGGAAAAACTGAAAGAGTATATCACCACTAAACCAGTATTACAAGAAATGTTAAAGGGACTTCTTGGAGGAGAAAAAAGAGGAGGCAGAGGCATAGGGGGAGGAGAGAGAAGAAAGGATGGTAGAAGGAGAAGAAAAGATAAAAAATATGAATAATAAAATGGCAATAACTATACACCTATCAATACTTACTTTAAATGTAAATGAGTTAAATGTTCCATTCAAAAGGCATAGGGTGGCTGAATGGATAAGAAAATAAGCCTATACATATGCTGCCTACAAGAGACTCACTTCAGATTGAAAGACACATACAGACTGTAAGTAAAGGGATGGAAAAAGATATTTCATGCAAAATGGAAATGAAAAGAAAACTGGGGAAACATTACTTATATCAGACAAAATAGACTTTAAAACAAAGCCTATAATAAGAGACAAAGATGGGCATTACATAATGATAAAGGGATCATTACAACAAGAGGATATAACCCAAGTAAACATATATGCATCCAACATAGGAAAATCTATATATATAAAGCAATTATTGACTGATATAAAAGGAGAGATAGACAGTAATATGCTTGTAGTAGGAGACTTTAACACTCCATTGATACCCATGGCAAGATCTTCCAGACAAAAGTCAATAAGGAATTAGCAGCCTTAAACAACACACCAAACTGGATGGATTTAATTGATATTTTCAGTGTTTCACCCCAAAGCAGCAGAATATACATTCCTTTCAAGTGCACAAGGAACATTTTCTAGAATAGACCACATGTTAGGCCACAAAACTAGTCTTGATAAATTTAAGAAGACTGAGATCAAACCAAGAATCTACCCCAATCACAATGATATGAAAGTATAAATTACAAGAAGAAAACTGAAAAACACAAAAAAAGTAAAGGCTAAATAATAACATGCTACTAAAAATAAATGAGTTAATAATGAGATCAAGATAGAAATAAAAAGATACCTCAGGACAGGTAATACTGAAAACTCAATGACCCCCAAATCTATGAGCTACAGTCAAAGTAACTCCAAGAGGGAAATTCATAGCAATATGGGCCTGCCTGAAGAAACAAGAAAAACTCTCAAATAAACAATCTAACCTGAAACGTAAAAGAACTAAAAACAACAACAACAACAACAACAACAAGAACAACGAACAAAGCCCCAAGGAAGTAGAAGAGGGGAAATAATAATATCAGAGTGGAAATAAATAAATAGCCTAAAAGAAACAATACTGGGTGGTTCTTTGAAAAGATAAACAAAACTGATAAACCTTTAACCAGACTTATCAAGAAAAAGAGAGAAAGTCCAAACAGAATCATAAATAAAAAAAGAGAAATGGCAACTAACACCAAAGAAAAAATATGATTACAAAAATAATACTATGAATAATTATATGCCAACAAATTGGACAACCTGGAAGAAATGGACAAATGCCTAGAAACATAAAACCTTCCAAGACCGAGTCAATAAAAAACAAAATATGAATAGACTGATAACTACAACAAAATTGAATCAGTAATCAAGAAACTCCCAACAAACAAAAGCCCTGGATTGGATGGCTTACAGGTGAATTTTATGAAACATTCAAAGAAGAATTAACACCTATCCTTCTAAAACTATTCCAAAAAATTCAAGAGGAGAGAAGCCTCACAAGATAATTTTATGAGGCCAGCACTACCCTGATTCCAAAACTAGACAGAGACATTACAAAAAAGAAAATTATATGATATTTATCCCTGGTGAACACAGATGCAAAAGTCCTCAACAACATATGAGCAGACTGAATTCAGCAATACATTACAAAGATCATACACCATGATCAAGTGGGATATATTCCTGGGAGCAAGAATGATTCGTATCTGCAAATCAATTAACATAATACAACAAATAAAGAAAATAAAGGAAAAATCTGTGGGTGAACATCAGAAACACGGCAAGTGAGAGACATCCCCATATCTTTCCCCTTGAAACAACAATAAGCTTAACATCTAAAACTCAACAAAAACAACCAAACTGACCAAACAGCACACTAGCATGTCTGAGCATGGGATCTGCGCCATAAGAACTACCACAGGAATGAGCTGGAGCTTGGAATTCAAGAAGTCAACAGAACACTCAATTATCTCAACCCAAAGAGGCCTTCATCAAGACACATTATATTAAAGTTATCAAAAATCAATGACAAAGAGAAATCTCAGAGCAGCCAGGATAAAGAAGATGGTAACCTATAAAGGAAAACACATTAGATTATCCTTGGACTTCTCAAACAAACCTGACAAGTAAGGTAAAGAAAGAGTGGAATCAAATATTCAAACTATTAAACGAAAGGAACTACCAGCCAAGAATAATGTATCCAGCTAAGCTCTCCTTTATACATAAAGGAGAAATAAAGACCTTTCCAGACATACAAAAATCGAGGGAATTCTCCACTATGAGGCCTGCATTACAGAAAATACCGAAAGGGGTCAGCTCACCTAAAACAAAATGACACAAAAAATACATAATTAGGAGTAAGGTGACTAGAAGGCTGATAGAAGCAGAAGAGTATAACCCTTATTAAGAACAGGGTACTATAAGCTTAAACAATAAGAAGAGATTTGCTATTGCAAGATAGTAATGAACGTTCAGCATACATAGGGACAAAATGAGACAACAATGACTAAAAAGGGGAAGAATCAAAGATCCAAATTCGCAAAGCGGAATGGAGATAAGGCAT